GAGAAGTAAAAGTTGTAGAAGGAGGACTGAGGAGCCTGTGAGAGTGCTTGACTGGTCCACTGTGCCTGATAGGGAAGGAACTCAATTTAAGTTCTAAATTAGATTTTCCTAATGTTAGCTACAGAAATTGCTTCAGTATGTTTGAATTTTTGTAACAATCGTGTTTAGCTTCCTTTTTTTTTTTTGGCAAGAAATTCTTCTTCTAATGAAGAAAGTATTCTTAGTATTAAGCTTAAAATTAATATTGACCTAATCAATTTTTTCTATGCCTTGGAATTAGAAGGGAAAAGAAGATTTGAGAAGGACGATCTGTTCTCTTTACTGTGTTGTGGCAGCTCTAGTGTTCTCAAGGTATCAATGCATGGCTTGGATGCTGTAACTAAGGGAGCTTTATGGTTAGACATGACTATGAAAAGCTGTATGCTATGCTGTGACTGCTCTTTTGCCTTTGAAGTTATCAGCTTTATTTACTGTATTTAAAAACTAAAAAAATAATTTATGCTATTCAGTGTGAAAGGTTTTGTGGAAAAAAAAAAATTGCAATGGTCCTTGTGGTGTTTGGGCATAGACACTCACAGATGAATTGTGCTTAATCTCTAGTTAAAACTTGTGTGGTATTGAGTTGTGTTATTTTTGATTTATTGAAAAGCAATATATTGAAAACGAAAACATCAAACCCCCAGAATCATTAAGTTTCAGACTTTACATTGCAAGACTTGCTGTTTGATATATACTGCTAGAGCGCATAATCTCAGATTATCTCAGATTTTTCTGATGTGATGTGTAATTTGACTACAGAACTGGATTTGCCGTAGTGCAGCATGACTGATCAGGTTCTAGAACGTGGTAGAGTTCCTGTCCATAGTTACCACTGCAATATAGGTTTTTGACAAACCTTTCCTTACTTTACCTCTACCTTGATGGTAGATAATACGCATTATCTTTTTATTTTTGCTGTAGTTCTTTTCTGTGTTTTTGTTGTAACATTAGCTATCTGTCTGTATTGTGATTCATTTTACAGTATTCTGTTTTCAGACTAAGCATATTATTTCTAATTTTGCACTGTTCTTTTCTACTGTCTTTATCAGACTATCGATAACTGGAAACTTTGCTTTTGCATAAATGTGAACTCTTTTTGAGTGGTGATGAAATAAATGCCTTCTTGTCTAACATGGATCAACTGATAACAATGTATCTAAATATTATTTTTTTAATAGTCTACTATTTTCTTATAAAGAGAATCACGAGATAATGGGTAAAATCTTGATCTTTTTGAAATCTGACAGACTCAAATTTGAGAATATATTTTGCTGATGTGTAAACTGAAATAAAATGCACAATATTTTCTGATTCCTGTTTGACCTCAAATCTGAGACAATCAGGATGAATGATTGCAAAGAGAAAGGAAGAGACAAAAGAAAAGGGGAATGTTGCTCTTCTCAGTGAATGCAATGGCATTGTTCGTTTTAGGACAACTACTTGAAAGTGTCCTCTAAATATCTGAGCAGCAGGTTAGGTTTCTTCTCTTGTGAATTCCTGCTCTTTCTGCACAGGATTCTCTGTAATATGCTGAGGCTCTAGACCCTTCCAGAGTTGTTTAATCTATGGGTAATGTACTTCAGTGTCATCTCCTTTCATTCACTAAACTTGTGTTGTTAGGGACTTACAGGCTTTTCGTACTGGGTGATGTGACTTTGCAGAGAAAAAGAGGAAAAAAAAAATGTTACCTTTTGAGTGGTGGAAGGAACGGCTAGCAAAATGTAAAAGGTGCTTTGGTTTATGGATAGTTGCTGTGTGTCCCTAAAAGAGCTACTCTAGCTCACGTCTTAAAAAAAGCTATTTTAGAAGATCTTTGTACTAGCTTGACTTTAGCCAGCAAAGAAATACATGAAGTTAGATGGCAGTGAATTGATAGGGAGTAGGAAAGACATGTAGGTGATGAAGAAAGAACAGTTTTTCAAATAGAGAATCTATTGAAATAATCATTAGAATCTTACAACTACTAAGCTAAAGCCTGATGGGGTTTAAGGAAACTGAGTGGTTCGCTCTTAGTGTTTTTTATGATCTTTAAGAACTGAGTAGTACTTGGAACAAAACTATATCCTCTGTAGGTAATAGTGGACAAGATAAACTGAAGCTTGCATTATATTCCAAAGTTTGTATTGTATTCCATGTTTTCAGTTTTGTATTCCTCTACTTAACGCAAGTAGGACAAACGTATCCAAATTTTAGCATACTATAGAGAGCTGAAGTTGTAAGCTCATTCATCTGGATGAATCTTCTTTTTTGTTTCGGACATTATGATCCGATTGTTTAGCCCATAGGTGTAATAAAACAACTTACATTGAAAGAAGGTGAAGGGCCTTGTAACAGCTCTCCTATGAGGCAATAGCTTCATTCTTTGCCGTTTTAGGACTATGCTTTCTTTTTTTTTTCTCTCAAAAGTAACTTTTTCTGTTAAAGACTGCAAAATGAAACTGCGTGGCTTTATAAAATATAAAGAAACTCAAATATTACTTTTAATATAAATAAGAATGAACATAGTGTATCATTTTTGTTCTGTTAATAGAGGTATACTTTCAGTGGTTCATGTATTCAATCTTTGTGGAAGATAGCCTGAGAGAAGAATGGAAGAGAATTTTTACATACAAAAGGAAGTTATATAGTCATATGCTTGTGTTAAACAACTGTATGTGTGAAGTTGTCAGTTTTTTCTTTTCATCCGCTGTGCTTATTATTTTTGAAGATTCAACCCGTTCTAATTAAATGAATGGAATTTTTTCTTTGGTTTGTTCTTGAAAAATGATCAGGTTGTTAGCATTAATCTGATATGCTTTCAAATCTGATGAGTCTCTGCACATTAAGCTGATACTTTTGACATGATTTTGCAAGCAATTCTGGTCTGAACCAAATGGTCAAGAAAATGCAGCTTTTGTTGGGAGTGTAAGTACTGTAACTTGTTCTAGAGAGTTTTTGGGATTGTCCATAGTTAATTGTGTAGCCTAAGAGGTTTTAGCAGCCCCTTGGCAAACATATTGTGAAATACAGGCCTTGCTCTGCAGAGGTAACAGCCCCAAACTACTATATCGTTATCCTCATTTAAAAAGTTCTTTCCTTTTTATGATTAATTTTATTTTGATGCTTCTGCCTTCCTGCTGTGAATGAGTAGTATCCATACCTGTTTTAGTTAATAGGCGTTGTGGTATTGGCATCTTGCATATCATAACATAAAGAGAGACACTAGTGAGCTAGTTAAAACAGTACTTACTGGGTGTTAGGTTGTTCTCAAGCATAAAAGCAAAATCCCATATGCTTTTTGAGTACAATTTCATTTTCAGCACGTTTATTTTCAACAGGCAGATTAGAAGACTGACCTTTCTGACACTAGGTACTTAAACAGATTCTTTATATCTTTTTTTCATAAGCCTTTTCATTCAGTCCTGGAGAGATTGATGCTTGCATGGGTATCTATATTTACGTTTCATTGCAATTTGTGACTGGTCTATGTTTTAGTCTAAGTTATTTATGATACATAAAAATGAAGCTTATCTAATAAGTATCACCAACTTTAATGCATGAAGTTGTAATCTTGCATGTTGCAAAAGCTTTTGGTGTTTCCTTTGAGTGTTGTAGATTCTTTCATTCTTAATCTTAGGATTTTTTTTCTCGTTTTAATTCCTCCTGCACATCATGCATTCCTATGTTTATACTAGAAAAATACCAGAAATATATGTAATTCTAAGCATTTCAATATAAATAATACTTAAAAATACATTAATCTATACTATATATATTTTTTCGTCTGATACAGTCTAGCTTAATATTAAATTACATACCTAGCATTTCAGTGTTACTGGTTTGACAGTGTTAAGCTAGTTTGGGGATATTACTGAATAAAAAAAACCCCAAAACAACCAGTTGAAAACTGTTTTCCCCCCAGTCTTGGAAATGGGGAAGATGAGTGGGTCATTTTTAAACTATGCTTCTGCTTTTAAAAGAGATCAGCAGGCACGATAAACAAAACACATGTACAGTAATGGGCCAGTGCTTTATAGATGAATTTCTTTGGAAAAATAAGTTTGCCACTAGTGTGTTGGTATCTTAGCAGTATGAATAGTGATCTATTTTATTTGTTAAATTAAGTGTGTGTAGCAACAGCTGTAGGCATTGGGCAACTCATTTAGGAAAGACTAGCCAAATCCTAGTAAATATTTTCTAATTGCTTTTGAAATCACTCATCATCTAGTGTATTGCTGTATAATGGTGACCTAATAGTCCCAAATTTGCGGCTCATGTTTTCTAATGTGGTGATTCTCAGTGTAAGCTGCTCTTCCTTGTACATGCATGTAACAAAATATTTGAGAATGAAAAAGTGAGTGTTCTTTAGGTCCTTAAAATGATCCTAGTTCCTTGAACAGGAGTAAAAACCAGATGATGTTTGTTTTGATGTATAGTTTTCTACTTATTGTGACAGCTGAGGTAGTTACAGGATATGTTTTAAGGACCAGGTCTGCATAATATCATAATTCAGATTTCCTTTCAAGATATGTGATAAGTCCATATTTCTGGTCTACCTCAGTGGAAAACATTAAAATGTAAACATTTGTGCGTCCAAACAAGGGCAACAAAGCTGGTGAAGGGTCTAGAGCACAAGTCTTAGGAGGAGTGACTGAGGGAACTGGGGTGGTCTAAAAGCGTTGCCAAGCATTGGAACAGGCTGCCCTGGGAAGTGGTTGACTCACCATCCCTGGAGATGTTTAGAAGATGCGTAGATGAGGTGCTTGGGGACATAGTTTAGTGGTGGGCTTGGCAGTGCTGGGCAGCATGTTGGCTGCATGAAGTTAACGATTGGACTTTGTCTTCAAGGTCTCTTCCATCCTAAACGATCCTGTGATTCTATGAATAAAACTAGTTGTTCATGGATTCAAATTTCCTGCTGTGAATGCTGTATTATGTTCTAGATTTCATCAGTTTAAAGCAGGTTTTCAATTCTTTTTTAGGTCAAATATACGACCAGACTATGCGGATACAAGCTTTCATGAGTTCAAAATGCATACTTTCAGTCGGGTGACGTCTTGCAAAGTCTGCCAGATGCTTCTGAGGTAAGATTTTTATGGATTCTGCTCCCCCTCCCCCCCCCGGTGAAGTATCTGAGTCAAAGGAGTATGTGGAAATAAATGGCTAGCTAGTTACCTGTCCCAGACAAGCTAGTCATTAGTATTTTGCATTGTATTAGAAAGTTTTTATAATCAAATTTGCAAATATTAGCAGGAGATCTGTTAAAAGCTCAAAATCTCAAGATGCTCCACGTTTATCAGAAGGCTGCTTTATCATAATTCTTTTGAGAATTGCTTTATTTAGTATAGGAGTTCCTGTGTAAGAGTAAATGACAATCGTTCTGAACAGTTTTGACTGCCATGACTGTTCCATGGATCCTGTTGCTGTAGACCACCAATCACAAGAACAGATGGAATATTTTTTCAGAAAATTAGACAATGACTACAGCCATTAATGTTTCATATGGAGTGATTGCTTTGTGAGACAGAGAATAACTGTGAGGCATTAACGGGTATTTCTGAACCAGAGATATGTAGACAAATTGAAGACGGATGTTGCCAAGCTAGGTAAGAAATGCTAGCAGACAGCTAATGCTTTCATGAACAAGGATTTGTAAGGTTAACTTAAGCTAAGAACTCCTATATTTTCTGCCTCTTTCCTCTGAAACACACACATGCTTGCACATATGCAGTTTTCGTTCATTATTTCAGCTATCTTTTAGGAACTACCTTGTTTTTTCTGTAAGTATGGAATACCTGATGGTAGAGAGGTATGTATTGAACCTAAATTTCATAGCATAAGTTGGAGATGCAAAAAAGCTTTGTAAACTTTGGTGTTCAGGTGCTCATGTTGCGTATTGTAGATGTTCCAAAAAGTGTAGCCACAGCATTTTAGAAAGGGCATTTGAAGTATGGATAGTGCTTTTGTTAAGCACAGGCATGGAATAAAATAACCTCAGGTATTTTGCTCTCTGTCGTGTGATTTTTCCTTTAGCAACCTTTTTCCTGAGCAGTTAGACTGACCTGTTTTTTCAGAGGGATTTTTTTAGATGTGTGGGCTTTTTTGGTGGTTGGTGTTTTTTTTTCCCTAAATGCAATGAGGTCTAAGTGACTTCATTATGAAGAGTGGTGCAGACATCCTGAACTTAGAGATGGAAGTGCTCATTTCTGAATTTGAAGCTGTATAGTTGAGTCATTGTGTCTCTGTTACTGCACTAACTGCTGTTGCTGAGAGACCGATGTCTTGCTTTCAGGACACAGCCTGCATGATGCTGCATTGTTCTGCATAGGCATGCTAATTTTCTGAAAGACAGCTTGGGTAACTCCAAGTGCTACCTTGTGTAGGTATGCCCTAGATATGTAGTACACAAGTGCTACTTGTGTAGGTATGCCATAGATATGCCCCTGGAAATCTAACTTGTATTGAAAGCCTACTGGACTTTCATAAAATCCCTAGTCACTTTTTAAAATGGATTGTAATTTCAAGCTTCAAACATAAGCTAATGTGTAAACACTTGGAAAAAAAAATTTGAAACTTAGTGCCTCATCTTAGACCAAAATTTTAATCCGTTCATAGAAGCATCTGTAGTGAAGGATAATGTTACGTCCTATACTTATATCTAGAGAATCTTGCATTCCTGTGTAGCAATAAGGAAAAAAAAAATGGAAGACTGCATTAAAAAATTTTTGTACTTTTTACTTATTTAAGTTTGTGTATTCCGATATGTAAAAATGCTGAGCTTCTGAATGTAATTAAAAATTCATTTCATCACTAACAGTCTAGAAATTGTTGTAGTAAATAGCAGTTGCTGTACATTTTGTTCAGGTTTAGCTTGTTCAATCCTGTGTTCCATATGAGAAACCTGATGTTCCTTTGAAGCTGAAGGTGTTGCATTAGATGAGGATGCGTAATAACTCCAAACTGATCAGAATCATCTTAGGCAAGTCTAGTGTGAAGAGTAAGCAGATACATCAGTAGATGGAACTTATGTAATTGCTCAGTAACATGTAAAAAACTGTTTTGCTGTTAGCCATTCAGTGAATTGTACCTGAGAGAGGCCGTGCACGAATCTGAAAATGCATCAGTTTCCTCAGACTTCAATTCAGATTCCAATTCATTAAGGAGAATTGGAGGACATTTAATGTAAGGAAGATGACTCCTTATATAGCAGCTCTGAATATTAACAAAAGTGTACCTGAATAGCTATCTCTTTTTTTTTTAAAGTCAAGAATATTTGCGATATAGCCTATAAATTTCTTAATGCTTAAATATATATTCACACTTGCAGCTCTCTTGAAATGGATCTTATTCTTCATGATTTCTAGGCAAATTCCCATTGAGGTGAAACAAAGTGTACATCTATAGTAGGATAGACGCATAATAATACAGTTTCAAGTGTACTGTGCCAAAGTTGCTTTGGGCTAAATGGAAATGGAGATTGTTATTCTACTAGTAGTCCAGAAGAACTATCTGGTGGTGATTTTTACATGGCTAGTAGTGATGAAAAGCAGATGAGCTGCTTGTCAGTTGTCACTTTTTCTGGAGTCTTTAAGAACTATTGTTATGCAGAACAGCAAATGACTTCTAATACCTCTGTCATATCTCTTATTTCTTTTATGTGTGGAATTTATCACCTCTAATGTAATTTTATTTTACAGGGGAACATTTTATCAAGGCTATTTATGTTCTAAGTGTGGAGCTGGAGCACACAAAGAATGTTTAGGAAGATTAGACAATTGTGGCAGAGCTAATTCAGGTGGTAAGTCATTTTTATTGTTAGAATACCATTTTTAATTAGGATATAAAACTTGCTAGATATAATTAAGGTTTAATTTACCTCTAATTTGTGTTTATTGTAACATACATATTTGTGAAACTACCATTTATAAGCACAATTAGAATTGCATTTAGAATTCATAGGGATTTTTATTGCTACTAAATTGAAATGTTCAAAAGCAGGAGAGAACTGTTACAGGTCAAACACAATTTCTTTGTCAATGTCATCTAGAACAAGGAATTGCTCTCATTCTAATTGTAGACTGCTCATATGTAGCACCTACTGTACAGCGTATCATCTATCATTCTTGTGGTTCTCCCTTTATGTCTATGTCAATTTTCATATTTTTCTGTTGGCTCCTAAAGCTGTTTGTTTGTGTTGCCTCAGCTTCCTCTTTTGTCTCTTTAGTTTCCATGGTTTCTGTCCACTCACAATATTCACAAAAGGGTGATTGATGACACTCTACTTCTCACATCTAAGGACCATTTTTTCTGTCTTTGAATCGATTGCAGTACTCTGAGTTTCTTCCCTAGCCATTGCCACTTCGCCCTTCTACTATTTTTCTTCTGTTCTTTTGGACCTTAAGGACTCTCTTGACTTTAGCTGCCATTTGGTCTCCCTCAGATGACTCCAATTTTGATCTCTTCCCTTCCTGCTCAGTATCGTATTTGTAATTCTGTCTTGGACATCTTATGGATCTCCCACTGCTAATGCCAAACGTTAGCTCTCATCATTTGCTTCCGCTCCCCTTCCCCTTCCCCCCTGCTTTTGGTGGCAGTGAGTTTGTTACACTGCAGCCAACTAGTCACATAACCATAGTGCCATTTTTGACTCTTCCCTCTGCCCAAGTTCTTAACTATTCTTCCTTCCTAGAGATGATTTGGTATTGATGGGAAGGATAACTGATAAACAGCCCCTCCTGAATTTCCCTCCTCATTAATATTTTTGAATTATTAATGCATGTATGTGTTTGAAAAGAGAAAAACCATTGTTACACATGGTTTCTGGAAAGTGTAGTTGTATATGTTGGGGAAGTTTCTACTTCATTGTCCTTTTCACTTCTCTAAAAACCTGTACGTTCCTTTCCAGAACTATTTTGTAACAGTTTGTGAAGTTTCTGATATCTTGGGTATCTCCCATAAGCTACTTGCAACCTCCTTCATTGTTTTCTTTTCTCTTTGACATTACTATCTACAATCTTTCCAAAATGCCGTTGCAGAGATAATCTCTCACTGCTTGAATTACATCATGATTTCATCCACTGTTCTTCACTAAGCTGCTGCTTCAAGATTTTGGTTCTAGCTTTTTGTTCCTTTCAAAATTGTATAAGCTTCTGTTTTTGTCCCTGTTTGCTTTGCTTCCTGACTTCTACTTGGCTTTTGGCTCACTGTGCTGTTTTCCTGCTTCATTCTTTCATGAAAGCATCAGGATGACAGGTACCGACTTCTGCTGCAGTCAGTGAACTTCAGTTGCATTCCTATACAGAAGATCTTCAGTGCTGTCCTCCAAGTCCGGACTTTTAAAAAATAATCATTTGTAGATCTGAAAATCATACAAGCAATCACGGTATTTTTCATTTAAATCCTTTTCGGAACCCAGATTTTTGATAGAACCTCCTATGGATATTATGAAGAAAACAAATACTTAAAATTATATTAAAATTTGAATATTTAAAAGCAATTACATTTAAATTTAATAGAAACACATACTGTTCTTTACAAGAGAGCTATCTTCTGTGGTGTAAACCACCCCAATTGCTACTTTTTTCTTTCTTTTGCATCTTCTGTTTTAATTGCTTTTGTAGTTTTGATTTTACTTGGACAGCTGGCACCCCAGGAGGCAGGAGCTTGTCTTTCTATTCCTCTGTAAAGATCTGTGGATGCATACAGCGCAATGTGTATCAGTAAGAATTGACCATAAATGCCTAGATAACACAAGGTCTGATGTCTTGCAGTTTTCCTGCATACGTACTTGAGTAATGCTGTGCACTTGCTAGAGGGAACAAATTAAATAAAAAAATTGCGTTTCTGCCTCTTTGTAATAAAGTGTATATACATACACACTTTGGAATAAAGTATAATTTTACAAATTCAAAGGAGCAAAATGTTATTTTCGGATTTTACTTTAAATCGTTGCCTTGAATTTTGTAAAAGGGTATTATACTGAGTCTTTCTTTAGTGAAGTTAGAAGTCACTGAATTGTTATCGTACTGCTTTGCTATGTGTTTAGCTTACATTGATGTGTGTTCTGCTCGCTGTCCGCTCTTCAAACTTCTCTATCTCTTTTTTCTATTCTTCTGTGCAAAGACTCCTACATTTCTGTACCTCTAGTACAAGCTAGAGGAGTTGTGTATTTTCCACCTGCTGATGAGACGGAATGACAGGAGGTGCTAGGCTATGGCTTCCTACAGCCTGCTCTGAGAGTAGATCATAGCTGCAAAACCAAACTCTACATTGCAGTTCTTGCCATGCTCCCCCTTGCTCTATGAATAAATGAGTATGGAAAGGACAAGTGGTTTTGCCCACTTTGATGAAAATGCGTCCGTTCTCCACCTGATGAGGGACTGACCAATGAGTGGAAAGTGAAATCTTGAGATTTTTCTCTGCTCTTTTCCATTTTTACACTTTATTTGCCTTTGTAAAGAAAGAAGTGTTGATTGAGCGGAGCTGCCCATTTGTCATGTACATAGAGTAAGGAAAAAGGCTTAAGGGAGGAGCTTTACCGGTTCCTGCTTCCCTATATGGTCCAGAAAGGGATGGGACAATTCAGAATCTCTTAAATACTGGTTTGTGCAACTTGAGTATGAATTATTTTTCCAGAGCTATGTTTTCACTTTTCCGAGCTGTGCTGAGAAATGAGGCCTCTTACTAAGTTCTCTGCCATGCCTGTGAAGTTATGAAATGTTATTGAAGGAATGCAGACACAAAAATATTGTGTACAATTCAATGTTTTCACTGCATTTTGTGGAAAAAGTATGCTCTGCATGCACAAAATTCTAACATAGTTTCAATTTTGAAGCTTTTTCTTTTGAAATCTTTAGATAAATTGATTTGTGATAAATCTAATTTTTCTAGTGATGTCACTTGCTGCTCCTGTGGGAAATTAGCAAAGGTGGCCTGTGAGTGCTATTAGATAAGAAATTGTGGAGCATTGCTGGAATGCTTCAATAGTAGCAAAATGCCTGGAATGTTTATTGTATCACTATGTATTTCTTTTGTTTCTAGGGGACAATTACAGCCTCTTTCACAGGGTATAGTGGATATAAAACAATCATCCTTTTGGGAAACTGAACATTATTATTCCCCAGTCATGTGGCATTAGTTACGGCCACATAGAAAAAAAAAATCCCATGATACATGTGTGGTCTATTTAAGCTGGTGTTCGGTCATTCTGCCATTGGTTGATTCCAGCTACTTCACAGGAAAGTGCAAATCCTCTCTGTGGTAGACAATGCCCAGGAATGATGCTACTTTCTTAATCCTATTAAATTTTCTTTTTATCTTTTTGATGTTTTAAGAGTTTTTACATCTTGTTAATGCTTTTGCATAGCTTCCCTATTTTTGTGAATAGAAAATACCTAATTGTGTTTCAGAATATTTGGAACAATGATTTCTATAAAGTTTTTATTTGACTTTTGTTTTTTGTTGGATTTTTTGTAGGTTGTGTGTCTTATCCCGGTTATGTTTGACCTTTTTATCTTTTTAATTTAGTATGTGACTTAGTCAGTTTTTGTGAGAAGAATCAATGGAAGTCTTGACTAACTGCTTCTATATGATAAATTACTTTATAGCTTCTCATAACCTCTTAGTAGTGTACTCTCTCAACTGAATAGTCTTAAGTTTTTTTATTATCTCTTCATAAGTGGAACTTTTCTATGCCTCAAATAATTTTCATTGCCATTCTGTAGATGTCTTCTATTTCTAGAAGTCTGTTTGAAAAGAGGTGATCAGAATTCAAAACACTGCAATGAGAATATACCATTAGATTTCTTAAAGATATTTCAGCACTTTCTGTTCTTGTACAGTTTAAGATTTTGTTTTCTTTATAGAGCGCTAAGCAGATGTTTTTTTAGTCTTTCTGAAACAATGCTTAGAACCTCCCTGAGTGGATTAGATCTTTTTGTATTTCATTCCAAGTCACAGTTTGTGAAAATTCAGAAGACAGACATCCAAAGACAGATGAAACCTTTAGAATGACAAATTGAATGTGTCAGATTTAGATGATACACTTATGAGAGAAACATTGACAGAATCTAAAGATAAATTGCTGTGTTGTCACGCTGTGCTTTATACACAAACACATGCCAGCTCTTCAGATGTTTTGCTTCAAAGAAGGCCAGTTCAACAGACTGTGGAAGTTGCAGCAATAAAAGATGCAGAGTTAATCACTTTAATTAATAAATAGTACAAAATGCCTGCATTTAGCCCTTGTTTTTTTGTCATTGTACCTTGTTGCTGTATATCAGCAGTGCTGGTTGAAGTCTTCCGTGCTCATTTCTGTCATTATTAATTTAACTTTTTTTTCCCCTAAAATACTGCCCTGCACATGCTTAAGTAGCCCTCTGCATTCTCGTATATTTTACTTTTATGCCCTGTCACTTAATTTTTCTGTGACTTGAAATCCTCCACGTCCCCTCTTTTTGCTAATGTTCTGATGAACTCGACTTCGAGTCTGATTGTGCAATCTTGAACACAAGGCCTTACAAAATCCTTAAACACAAGGATTACGAAACGAATGCACATATTTCTGAGGGGGCCTTTTATAAGGACATAGATGGTGCTCTTTTCTCCAGTGGCTGATTTGGAGGTCGCCTCTTCCCTTTCTACCTCTTCTGGCTTCTGCACTGCATTCCTAAGTCAACTTTCAAGGCGCAGGACAGTTTTAATTATCTGATGATGCTCTTGCACTAGTTGGAAGGGTTTATATTTGGGAATGTTTAAGAGTGGGACCTTTGATAAGTGAGTATGAGTAAGCCATGCCTTTAGTAGACAAAAGGAGAAGCTGTCTCCCTCGTTATTCCTACTTTTGTTCTCCAGGCTGTTCTTTGGCCCTTGCAATTTCTGCAGAGTTTCTCAGGATTGATAAAACAGTATCACTCTGTGCAGAGCACACTGCAGAACTCCAGTCTGTTTCCTAGTCTAAGGTAGCAGAATTAATAATCTGCTTCTATTGCCGGACTGGAATTTTTCCAGGTTTCTCCTATTATATTGAATTAAGTATTCTCAGGCAAATGCTTGCTGGTTCCACAGACTATTGAATATTTCAATTAGATCAACCTCCAAAAATGGTTCTAGAATCTGAAAATGTTTTGAATATTTTAAATACGGTGCCAAACCCACAAAAGTTTCTTCTTTATATCTCTGTTCCCAGGGAATCATAGAAGCATCTTTCATCGGGACATAAATGGATTAGAAAAACATTAACTGGGCATTTTAATAGTACTTTTTAGTTAACTTATGCATGATTCCTTTCTCCTTCAGATAGTTCCATTTGAAAAAGTACTACATTTCCTTAGGTGGCAAAGAAGTTTCTTTAACTGTATGATGAACTTGAAAGAAAATAGTTACCATATGAATGGGTTAAGTTTAGAGTTGCTTTCGTATGGTAATGTGCATGTCCAGTAATACAGTCCATACTGTTTATGTAACGGTTGCTTGCTACAGCACATTAGACTTTATTCATAAAAAGCATGTAGTTCTGACATCTAAAAAGAAACCAGCAGCTTTCGCTGTTTACCTTTTTGTTGGCTTCATCAATAGTTGCAAAATTGCTGGCTGTCCTCCAAACCTACCATGTCAACATCATTGACAAATAAATGCTCGAATCCCAGAATGTTCATTGGAGTCATGTCACTTTTCATTTAACTGCACCAAAGGTTGAGCTGTATTGTTTAACTAACCATCCTTGCTCAACCTGAACAAAAATCACTTAGAGGGCTTGATGGTTTGTGCAGAGTCCTACACTGCGGTATTTCTAGGTCACAATTCACATTTCTTCTGGTTGTGCAATGAGTGGCTGAATGACTGGAAAGGAGCAGATAGTCCCACAACTCCTTCACAGTGGCTTACTTTATAGTTCCTGCATTTTAAATGATTTGATTTTTTTTTTTTAAATAGGAAGGTGGGTAGTTTACTACATATCCTTTTATTTACTCTCCTTTTAGTTAGTATGTAAATCTAGCTGCTCTGTTGCATCCCTGAGGAGCAGCTTATTCCCATTTTTCCAATCTGTGCTTCCTCACTTACCGAGGCCAGCTGCTGCTCCTGTTGCTTTTATAGTAAAATATAATTATCAAAATGTGACTCAATGGTATCATGGCCTCAGTGAATAAACAAATAACCTAAAAATTGTGCTGAACTATGGCAGTAAAAGTATCTCGCTGTCAGAACTGAACTCACTCACTCGATAATTTTGTTGCAACACGGGTGATGGACAGGAACTTGAATTAAAATTGTCATGTGTAAAATACCTGCTGGATATTCTCAGACTTTTTTATCTAAAAATAGAAAAAAATAGAAATGAGATTCTTTTGCTCTTGTGTAACATTTGGAAAAAAGATCTCTCGTGAGGAAGCAATTCACATTCAATACAGAATGTTCTGAAGTATAGGGATATTTCAATTGTAATGAAGACAAGCATAAGTCCTATTTTTTGAATAGGCTTTTATGTGGAAATACAGATATTGGATATATTTCTACTCTTGGAGTATTAATAGCAAAGTCACAAATGTGTGGGTTTTTTTTTAAACCTATGGATTAATAAACACTCTCCCTTTTAATGACATTATGCAAATTTTCAGGAGTGTTTATTACTTTCTTGTGTAGTGATTTCAGGAGTGCAATTATTGAACCTTAATTACTGAATTTCTTCATTATTTATTATGAAAAAGGTTGAGATGCTGCAATCACCAAATGGAACTCATTCATCTAGCTGGGTTTGTGATATTTCCTAGAGGTAAAAATAATATTCAATAGCAACCATTAAAAATCATTCATTCATTCCCAGTGAAGGATAGAATGACATTTCCATTTCACTTTTTTGATAAGAGATCTGCAGAACTAAATATAGGCCATTTAAAAGAGAAAAACCCTAAATCTGGATTTGAAGTTTTGCCCTGCTTTGTAAGTACTTACCTAAATGACTTCCCTTCATTTGAAGTCATTTGTAATGCTGAGATGAAACGTTAAAAAACAGTGATTTTCAGATTTTGGCAAAAATTCTGAAAGGCATATTAAATTGTGAAGATAAATACCAAAATTGTATTGAATTTCAGCAGCACTTACACAGCTAATTCCCTCGGGCTCCTTAGAAAAACCTCAATACTCTACCTGCCTCTCCTTCTTTGGGGTGGGCTTATTTTTCTTCTCTTTGCCCACTGCCCAAATGCAAACTAATACTTTTAGAAAGGTTATAATCATACAAGTATTTTCTGCAGATGACAAGATGATGCGTCTTTGGCTGACTGTGTGAGAGAGAAAATGGTGACTGAAAGTGTACGTGAGAAGAGAGCTCTGCCAGTGGTAAACAGGCTGTGCCTCCCTGGCCCTGCCTAGAGTCCTCGGCTGGCGTGCTTGGTCTCGGCACGCCTTATCATCTTTGCATAAAATGCTAGAAAGCCAAAGATGTTTTTTCCCACACTTTACTATTTAATATTATTTTTTTAGCAGGATAGATCTACTTGCAGTTCTGGTTTTTTAGTTGATTTTGTGTGAATATGGCTTACTTTTTACAAAATATTATGGTAAAAGTTTTCAAATGTGACCCCTTTGTGTCTTTTGTAATGTGTGGTGGTGCATGTGTGCAAAAGTATTACTGTGATGCAGTCCTGATGTGCAGGGCTGTATTTCCTGATGTTTAAATAGTACAAGAAAATTCATAGCAAAAGAGGCAACTAAACCACCAATGGCTTCAGAGTCTGTGGTGTACTAATGCAATTCTGAATTGAACTTAGACACAAAATAAAGAAAATTTTGAGGCTAAAAGCATACGTCTATCTCGATATATGTTGACATGGTGTGAAAAGACAGAGACAAGAAAAGGTATAAACTCAACTTGCAATGAAGAACTGTAGCTCTTGAATTCCCACTGAGTCAATATTTGTAAAGCATTTTGGAAATTTTCTAAAAGTTTATGAAGTCGAACAGACCCGATTGGCACGCCGCTGTTGGGAAGCGCAGTGTCAGTGGTGGCAGGGAGCCCTTGGCAGCCGTCTGGGCGCTGTGGGCAGGCCGGTGCACGGGGAGGAGCGCGCAGCGGGGTTTGCGCAACAGGAGCTGGCGCAGCGCCGGGCTGCCGGGGCGGCTGCAGGTATCAGGTAGCGAGGGGAGGCAGCAGGGTGTTCTGCAGTGCAACACTGCACGCACTGAGATTGCTAGTTAAAAAGCGTGCAACTTACAGTCGCCAATAATGCCCATTTTTACTTATGTTTCAGAACACGGGAGCCTGAAACATGAGGTAAGGATTAATTTTCCTTTGCATATGATATTTGTTTTGTCAGTGACATAAGAGCTCCTTATTTACTTTGCGCATGTGCTGTTGGAGCAGGTATGTTCTTCTCTGCGTTTAACAACAGATTTCTGCAGAATGGTGGAAAACAGAGGTTGTCTGAGAAACAATGTGTTAGTAATTAAACATAAATGTATTCTGTTTGAAGTGTTACTCAATTTTCAGTTGATATGGCTTAATGGTGAAAGCACTGGAAGGGGGTGGGGATGTGTTTTTTAAGCTGCAGTTAAAAAACATGCATTGCTTCTCAACTGATGTGTAGATCCTTACTGTTCCTAGACTAAATCTGGCAGTAGAGTTAAAAGTATTCTTTTATTTTCTTTAAGGCCAGCAAGTCCTGCTGGGGTAACTTGCTAGTGTACCAATCTCTGCCATACCAGACTGCTGGGCCATGAAGGATCGGCAAGGCAGTGTTTGCCTCTTCATGTAGAAAGACTTTAGTTGCAGAGGTATCCAGTGGTTATGGAGTTTAAATAATCTGGGCAGAATGGCAAAATTCTCCCTCCTATAAAGAGGAGGTACTGTGGTGCATATTGTGTACCTTGCTGTCAGCCCAAGAAGGCTGCAAGCTACCTGGGTTATTTTCTCACCACTGTCTGGTGCTCCTCTGCTGCTGCTTTCCACTGAAGTAGAGAAGGACGTGGCAGTTGGCTGTTGTCTGCCAGTTCTGACGAGAGAGGCAGCATTTTAAATGTAGAGTGTAATAGTTTCTAGCATCTATTTTAGATCAGAAGTTTATGGTAATTTAACTACTTAAATGACACACTCATTATGAACAATGTCCGAGTGTGTATGTTGTTTCTCTCCATAAGCATGTGTATATTTGGTGCTATCACTAAAATGGGTAATGGAATTGGAAGGACATCGTTGCTGACATGACTGTTGCAGGGGGGAGCCGTGCACAGGGCTGACTGTGCTCTCTGATGTTCGAGCTGTGTCGGGGTCGCTATGCCCCCAGCCAGTGGCAGGGGCAGGGTGAGGGGAGCCTCGGCATGCTCTGGTGAGCTCCTTGGCACGTAGCCCATGCCTGTGCCCAAGGTGCTGCCGCCTGCCTGCTCCCCTCGCTGCTCCATCAGCTGTGCCTCCTGCCGCCTGGCTTTTCATGGCTCTGCCTAGAAATACCCCCTAAGTAAGGGCGCTCTGAAATCTGGAAGCTACAGCACGGTCCATTTTAAATGCTTGCTTTAATTCTTTCTGTGCAGGAGAAAACTTGAGCATAGATGAGGATCTGTTGTTTTGGAAAACATGAATTTAGATTTCGTACCAGTAATGCAATAAAATCTGCTTGTACTGTAATTGAGCATGTTTTCATATAGCTCAAGAATTATTTCCTTAAAATGGTTTTCCATCGGTCCTTTGGTGTATATGACTTATCCTGTCACAGAATTATTGTGGTTTTTTAATTTCAGTTAAATATTTCTATACCTTCCTTTATACTTGCTTTTTTCACTCCTGCCCCTTTCCCTCTGTTGTGCAAATCTGCGATTACTCACCACTCTACATCAATCCTTATCAGCAACACAGCCTGTTTTAAAAAAATAACTAGGATATAATTGAGCCTTTTGTTCTTATTCAGTAATATTACCTTCATTGTAGCAGCAGTTTTAAATTTTTCTTCTTTCCACTAAAAATGAAACAAAACTTGCATCATTTCTTGATGCGATTGTGGGGTACAGAGAGAGTATGTCCAAAGACTCGAGATTGAAAGCTCTTTTTAAATCAAGCTTTTCATTTGCTACAGGGTTTAGTAATTTGGTTGTGCCTCAGGTTACTGCTTTCTGGTTTGCCTCGATGTGTGTCCTGCATCAGCTTATATGAACTGCAAGTAAATCATAGCAACGTAATTGTTCCCTTTGTTATGCAACGTACTTTTCTCGGCTTGGTTCGATTAAAAAGATAAATACATGCATGAATGTTCATGCAAGCTACTGGTTAAAACAAGTTTGCAAAAGCATATTAGTAGTTCACAGATATGCATTATTTCACATTGAAATTTTCAGGGATCCATAGTAAGTTTCTTGTAGTATAAAATACATGGGAAAAAAAAAGTCTCAGTCTTGTCAGAGTTTCTGATTTCAGGCAGCTCTGGTTTATCCAAATTTAAAAAGAGGAGGGAGGCAAGTTACTAGATACGTAAGTGCTTGCCTAGAAAATAAGAAAATTAAGAATTGCTTAGGGAATTCTGGTTACCTCAAGTACAAAGTAGGAATAGTGAAAGTTGCTACCTTATTAAAGCAATGCAAGCAGCCTCGACACTTTTGTCTTTGTGGATATTATCTGGGGCAGATAACGCTAAACTGCATGTTTTTCCACTATCCTATTTATAAATGATTAAAAAATAAATTTGCTCTTGGTATCAAAAAAATGTTGTTGTATAAATGAACCTTCTGTGGGCTAAGAATCTTTCAAGTTTAGTGTCAGGAAAAATGGAATATATGAAAAAACTGTATACGTTACTAAGAACATTTTTGAAAGTATGATCTTTCTACAAGATAAAGATAATTGTGATGGTGGTTGGGGGAAATAACTTAAGAAAACCAACTTTGCCTAGGAGATTGTGGGAATGAAAGGAGTGGAATCTGTCTACATGAAAATATGTTTATTCATATCCTTGATTTGTATTCTTGCTATGCAGAAACGAACGAATGGAATTAGAAGAAACTCTAGACACGTGGACCCAGGTTTGTCATGACTTTTTAATAGTTAAACATTAAGTAAAAAAAGCAAGAAAGCTGTAACTCACTTTTAATCAAGCTGCATTATGAACGCTATTGTAATGAATGCAATGTTGAGAACTTTATTGGCAAAATTGTGAAGGTCTAAAGTGATTGCTGTTTGTGATTTCAAAGATAAGGTCAGCTGATTGATCTTGGATATTTTTTTTGTTTGTTTGGTTATTTTTTTCCCCTTGTTTTAGCAGTGCTTCAGTTCTATCTGAACAACAAAATGCCTGTGGGCTTTTGGTTAGCATGACCCACCCGACTGTACTCTGCAGTTTTAAAAGAACTAAGTGACAAAAAGCAGACAGTTGCTTATAAAGCTTAGGTTCTGATCTGCAAAGTTGTGGATATTCTCAACTCTGTTAACTGTAGTGGTGCTCAGTGCTTAGCTGTGTTCGATATGAATTGCTCTTCTAAAAGGCATAAACCAGTTGCAGTTTTATGTAGAATTTCAAAGTGATTTTATTCTTCCTGTTAGTGTATAGTAGATACTTTTGTGGAATCATGGCAGCAGCAACCGTTAAGAAAATTAAATGCTTGCTTATAGACTGTGTACTCAAGTGGGTGAACATTTCCTCTGGAGACGCGTTATGTGTCTGTATAAAATACTCAATGGTTTTCAGTGTAGCTGTGTGATATTTTTAGTGTCATTTTTTACAGTAATTACGTTTCTGTCCTTTATGTTTCTTGTATGGTTTAATTACTGGACATTTGTTATGCAGATATTATTTGGAATAAAACTAAGCTGTGGATTATTAAATATTTCTAGATGTGGATGTGGACACCTGAGAATAGTTGGAGTCAAACATTAAACGAGATGGCAACTCTATACACCACATTATAGCCTGGCAGAGCTAAGCGCTTTTCAAAAAGTAGGAATGCTGGTTGTGCCACTAGCACTGCAGCTGCTTTGGCTCTGGAAGTCTAGATGTTGTAACTAGCTGAAGCAGACCACACCTTACTTACTCACGTACCTTTGACATGTTTTGGAACACGTATCGTCACTGTGTTCCCTCTAGCAAAAAAAATTGCTTCATAATACTCCTAAATTGTTCTGTGTGTTGTTGACTAAAGTCATTAAAGAAAAAAGAAAAAAAATGAGCACCCTGTAACTCTGAAAATGAACACAGTCAGAGGGGGAAGCATCAAGAATGTCAATTAAATAATGCAGAAGAGGATGAGAACACTTCGTCCAAGTGGGACTGTGTGAGTTCTTCCCATTCAGTGGTATATGTTACAGTGAAGTGTAATGTGTGCTTCCGAAATAGTCCTTGTAGGTCCAGATCTTTAAACATAGCTGTCTCATGTAGACTCCTAAAAGGTTAAGTAATTTAGCTTTGAGAACCTTTTGAGTATACTGGTGGTTTTACTTGCTGTTGAAGTCTGATAGAAGTATTTACATGATCTTTACCTACACGGATACTTTAAAATTCGTTTTTGTTGAAGACTAAGGACCATTAAAATCACTAGAGTCATTGACTTAAATAGATGTTTATAAGCTGTAGGATACCAATGCCTGAAATACGGTTCTGCTCACACTCCCACCCTGTCTATTTACCTACACAGAAGCAGCTTTGAGTTGTTGGAGTACTTTTATTGAGTAAAGTTCTTGGTCCCTGTTATCTTTTTGAAAGTCAGTAGAAATGCAGAAAATCTGCATTACGTTTAGGTTCCTTTATTAGAGATACTATTGCAGAAGACTGTCCTACAGAATTGCTTCTGACATTATAATTTTTAAAAATAAATAATAATAAAAAAGATATTACGTACTAACGCGCTCCATTTGTATACTTTGTCAGTTTTCAAATAATGTGAGCTTTTTTATTTGCATTTTGTCAGCATATGCATTCTGAGTCCTGCTGTAATTTGGTGGAGATAACTTTTAAAGACATGAATGTCTTTCGTAAACTCTTGGTATCTCTTTGGCATATTCTAAGTAACATTGCTTATCAGATTGCACATTGCCTTGAGAGACCGAAGATGCTATCCAGAGAGAAGTACTTGTAAGAAATCAGTTATTTGAGGCATACATTACTGCATTGATCCTAAGAGCTTTTCAAGAACACTGGCATATAAATGTCTGGAAATCCTAACACGATGGTGCTCTTTCTGCTGAGAGAGGTAGTCATACTCAGAGATAACATTTAAAGCTTAATTTGTTGTTGTGTGTGGTGGTTTGTGTGTGTGTGTTTTTTTTTTTTTTAAAAAGTTTGCCCAGACTAGTTATTGTTAGGAGGTTCAATATGCTGCTGCCTATATTGCATGTTATGATGCTGAAGCATGGGTACTAGTTTAGGAAAGCATGTATTTGCTGTGAATCTATAAAAGGCATCTGCACTATCTAAATATTGATAGAGTTTGAAATAGAATTATTTTGGGCTGTAGGTATTTCAGCACAAACTTTTCAATGTCGTGTTCTGTCTTGTCTCTTTCTGTTGTCTGTCTTTGGCTATTTCAGTAAAAGTATAATGAATGCAGGAGGCATAACATAGTCAAGTTGATGCATTGTGCTTGTATTTTCATGCTAGTTAGAGCCAAATTCAACTTTTACTGACACAGCTTAGCCCTGAATGAACAAGTCATTTAAGTTGAAGCAGTAATGGGAGTAGAAAGATGGTCTAAACAAAACAATGTGAGGATACTGGATTAAAGTATCTCTTGGCTTCTGCTGGTAAAGCTCTTTGGAGGAACCTATCTAGCTGAATTACCCTAACAACAACAAAAAAAGTTCTTCATGGCTGTTTCATTGTTTTTCTTTCAAGTTTGGTTAAAAGTTTCAACAGTGACAGTTTATTCCTTGAGATTTGCTTTGTGCTGAACAAGAAGGAAGGGTAGAAGGAAAAGCGATTAATGGATCATAAGGCAGAGAAATTCCTGGGAAATGAAATAGTTGTGAAAAAATAAATATGTGCAGAAACAGTACAAGTGAAGAGCAAATTGGAATGCAAAATAAAATATGACTTTTTTCTTTATACTGTGCACTGTGACTTCAGCCTGTGATCCAGTTGCAGGTAGCCTCCTAAATTGGTCCATCTGTAAGTTTTAGGGGAGACAGGTTTCAGATAACCTTTCTTTGGATTAATCAGCAGATAGTAAAAGCCATTGAAGAATGAACCTGTAAATGCATCTGCACCTGTAAAACCAGGAAAAATTTGGTCTGGAGTTTGCATTTTACTGTAGAACAACATGATTCTGCTTAAACGTGTTTGAGAAGTGATGAGATGGGTGTCAGTTTTTGCCTAGAATGGGCAGATGGAGTGATAACTATATAGCATTTCTTTTCCTTGTGTAAGGAATGTCATGAAAACTTTTTTGCATGTGTTTAATTTTAACCCTGCGATTTGCACTATTGAATTAAATGATGAACAAACCATTCATATGTATATCTGTAAGCATAAATTAAGGCTCTGTATGTTTTCTTGTGGATGATGCCATCCAACCAGATTTTTTAATAGAAATAATTTTGTATGTATTTTAATAAGATAAAAAATATTTTCCTGCTCGTTCTCAGCTATTGGAATAATACCATGTATGTTTGCTGTCTTTTTATTTTTTTAATGATATAAAGAGTCTAAATGTGATAGATTCACAGCTTGATGTTTTTAAAGCTAGTTTTACCCTAAACACTTCTGCTAATGTAAACATTGGAACTTCCATCTCTAAAAGTGTGAAAGTATATTTCATATCAGAAGGATAAACTTGGTAAAAATAGAACACAAGAAGCCTTATATTCAAGATCCATTGCAAATTAAACTCAAAAATCTCATCTGAGAAGGAATGTAATTGAGCATGTTCTGATTTCTTAAATAGCTGATTTCTTTATAAGCATGAATTAAAGCTTAGAAAACCTTAGTTCTAAACTGATGGACAGAACCAACAGGTCTTCTCCCTTTAAAGAAAGTAAAATATTGACTGTTGGGTTTTTTTTGGGGGGGAGCACAATAGTGACAAGTAATGTATGCAACACCTGGGAGTTCAAAGTCCAAATAGTAAATTTAAAAAGAGATATTTGTATTTCTTGTTGATGTCTGGTCTGTACTTGCTTTCTGAAGCAATCCGGTAATATTGATTTTACACAGATTATAAACAAAAGGATCTGAAGAGAATAACTGAGTTTATGGCCTGAAGTATATAAGTTAAAAAAAAAAATATCTGTGCAGGGAGAAGTACAGCATTGGAGATATGTTTGTCTAATTAGACATAGTGGGAAATGAGCTACTGTGTGCTTCATATTTTGTTGAAATTGCATTGTGGAATGCTGTCATTGTTATATGTGTTTGGTTACTAAGCAGTGAAACAATATTCTGATGTTTGTGTATTGTGGTAATGATTGCATCTCTTCTTCATAGTAAAAATTAGGGGATAGTGTAATATTGGCAGTTTAAGTTTCCTTTACAGTTAAGAATGAGGTGTATGAAACATATTTCAAAAAATTCTGACAGTGTGCCCTGTGCTATGCAAGTCTTAACTCTGGTTTTTATTTCAGCGCCACTCCAAACATATGCCCAGCCAAAAGCAAAATCTGGCCTAAATTCAAATACTGGGATATCCCAACCTGCAGATAACTCTTTGCCAAGCACATAGTTGTTATAGATAAAAGTACTCTTCTTAACTAAGAGGTTGAAGCATGTCTCTCCCTTTCTTGTCTTATTAACTATCCCAGCAAGTCCTCATATTCGTGATTGACTGTTATCTTTCTCATTCAGCCCAGTATAGAGAATACTCAATTCCATGGATAAGAAAAGATAAGCTTCTGCAATGTGAAACCCAGTTCTCAAAAACTGGCATTCAGGAATTTATTTCTTCATTCCAGCAGTGGGGGAAGCTACCTGAGATTCTGGCTGGATCTCTGGTGGCCCATTACTAACTGACTGTCGATATCATTGTTGAGAACAAGGATTTATCTTGGTTTTAAGTCACAGAAAAAAGTTGACCAAACCTAAAAGCACGTATTAAATAAG